GGGGAGGGGGAGAGGGGGGGAGGGGAGAGAGAGAGGGAGAGAGAGATTGGCCCAAAGTCACCCAGGTGCATGGTTGCATGGTTAAGACAGGACTAGAACTCACTGTCTCCTGGTGATTGGCCCCAAGTCAACCAACACACTTGCACAGTTAAGGCAGGACTTGAACTCACAGCCTCCCCTTTCTAGCCTGGTGCCTTAACCAATAGACCAAACTGGCTTTCTATTTAGCTGAGCCTTTGCAAACAGAGATGATTGTTTATGGATGACTCCATTTCCTGGCATCCACAGGTGAAGAAGCCTAAAATATTTGCAAAGGGAGTATTAGAGGATCTGTTGACCCTTTGAGGTAGACCAGACAAGAACCACAACCATGAGTACCAACACTATCCTTATTGTAAGGTTACGTTAACAGAGTCTTGAAAGTCTGAAAGATCTTCTCTTTACTTTCCAGAAAACTACAGACAGTCCCTTCTGAGACATCCTATGTCCTTTTTCCTTCTGTGGGCTGGGCACCATTTGTGTGACAGTTGTCTAGGTTGACTCTTTCCCTGCCCTTCAAGGTCATTCTCACAGGCCATTATAAGATCTTCTTGTCTGAAAATGTTTCCATTCTCCTGGCTGTTCACTTAGCCTCCAAACCCTTTCCTACCACGCTAGATAATAGGATTCATCCCTCTTCTTGTCCTACTGGCAGTTGGGACAACCTGGATAATAATTAGCCATGTTTCTCAGGTTCCAACTTAACAGGCTTGGACTGAATTCGATGAAAACAGAAGTAGTTGAGGCATGGTGGTGCAGTGGTCAGAATGCAGTATTGCAGGCTGACTCTGCCGACTGCCAGCAGTTTGATCCTGACCGGCTCAAGGTTGACTCAGCCTTCCATCTTTCCGAGGTGGGTAAAATGAGGACCCAGATTGTTGGGGACAAGAGGCTGGCTCAGTAAACCGCTTAGAGAGGGCTGTAAAGTGCTATGAAGCGGTATATAAGTCTAAGTGCTATTGCTTGTTGCTATGTTATGGTATTCATGCCATGGTGGCAGAGTGATTAGAATGCAGTACTGCAGACTAATTTTGCCAATTGCCAGCAGTTCAATTCTGATTCTGTAAACTGCTTAGACAGGGCTGTAAATGCACTGTGAAGCGGTATATAACTCTAAGTGCTATTGCTATTTTTATTTTTAGAGGAGAGAGAATCTGCTGGGCTTAACCCGAGACTTACCCATCTCTGCAACTTTGAGGGCTGATTAAAGACATTCAAGAACCCATGAAACCCAAGAACCCATGAAACACGACACCATTGTCATCTGATTAATCTAACAAAGTCAAGCAGGCTCTTTTGAAGCGTATGCAGTAATAGGTGAATTAATGCTTCAGATACCACAAGATTCTCCATTGTCTGATTTTTTTTCTGTGAAGTCAACCACAATGCCCTTCCGAAAATTCATCTAATCGTTATCCCGTGCATCTTATTCTTACCTGAAAGTTATGGCATAGGAATCCGGTTCATCTCTCTTTCTAATCAGGAAAGCTCCGTCCCTTGGAATCCGCATCAGCATGTCTTCCGCTTCTCCGCGACTCAGGTTGCTGTAATACCAACTAAGAGAGGAGAAAAGGTGATTGCAGTTTCAAAAAACTTAATCTCATGAAGATGCAGCTTCGGGGTGAAAGGAGGACAGTATTCCTTCTTTCTGCAATCAACAAGGTACTCTTGAATGTGGATACTGCTGGGGGTTTCCCTTCCTGCCATCTAAATCCAGTCGTTTAGATTTTCAAACCAGGAAAAAAAAAACATAGGATAGATTAGCGAAGGTAAGGGAATAAGAAATGATACTAAATGATATGTGGGTTTGTGGAAATACCACCCCAAGAAAACATAAACTGAGATTTAAAAGAGACACCTATAATAACAGAAAAAGAAAGGAGAGAAGGAGGAGATAACGAGAGGAAGAGGAGGGAAGAAAGAAAGAGGGAAGGAGAGGAGGAAGGAAGGGAGAGAAAGAGAAGGAGCGAGGGTAGGAAGGGGAAGAGGAAGAGTAGGAGTAGGAAAAAGGGAAGGGAAGAAGGAAGGGGAAGGAGAGGAGGAAGGNTAAGGAGAAACTTCCTAACAGTGAGAACAATTAACCAGTGGAATAGCTTGCCTTCAGAAATCACGGGCACTCCTTCACTGGATGTTTTTAAGAAGAGACTGGACAATCACTTGTCTGAGATTGTATAGATTCTCTTGCTTGAGCAGGGGGCTGGACTAGAAGACCTCCAAGGCCCCTTCCAGCTCTCTTCTCTTCCCTTCCCTTCCCCCCTCCCTTTCCATTCCATTCTATTCTTGTCTGGAATGGTATAGGGTCTCCTGCTTGAGCAGGGGGCTGGACTAGAAGACCTCCAAGGTCCCTTCCAGCTCTCTTCTCTTCTCTTCCCCTTCCCCTTCCATTCCATTCTATTCATCAATTGCTTATTAGATTTAAATCTTTTAAAACTGCCCACCTCAGAAAAGCCTTGAAGGATGCTTTTAGCAATCATCACATCTAATCATAAAATAATATATGCAGCCTCTAAAACATACTGCTTGCTTCCAAGCAGAGATGAGATGTGCAACGTAATCGCAATAAACCAAGCATGAAAAATTTCTGGAGAAGATAATTAACCAGGAAAACACAATTTCAAAGTGGTTGCGATTAACGGATTTAGCACTTACAGGCTGTCACCCCCCAATTATTAAAGTCGCTTCAGTTCCTGTGAAACCGATTATAAATTGTGCCACCTACATTGATTTTAACTGTTCTGTACTTTAAAAGGCTTTGAAATCTGTGAAAACCAGAAACTTATGTAATTTTAGATTGGACTACATCGAGTGGCTGGTCGGGAGAAACAATAAAGAGGAAAATGAACAAAGGAAAGTGATTCTTATGTATGTCTTTGCAATAAAGGGTTAGAGTTAGGCTAACCTTTATCCTAACCCTTTTCATGATCCCCTTTTCATACTTTGCCTAAATACTTCTTCTCATTCTGCATAATGCCTAGGTATTATACACAATGCCTAAGAAAGTGTATAACATATTAAAATAACAGCAATATTTCATATTTTGCCTAACAACGTCATGCATTCTGAAGACGTTTCTAGGCATTCTATATAATGCCAGCTGTTTACACATTGCTGGTAATGCATATAACAGTTTCAACAAAAGTAGGTCCCAAAGATGCTTTTCCAAAAGGCAACTTGACTTTCTTTGTTTTTCCTTGAAGATGTTTCGCTTCTCATCCAAGAAGCTTCTGAAAAACTGAAGAACTGAAGAAGCTTCTTGGATGAGAAGCGAAACCGTCTTCAAGGAAAAACCAAGTCCAGTTGCCTTTTGAAAAAGCACCTTTGGGACAAACATGATCTGGATGACTGAGAATCTCCACCAGAGGTGGTATTCAGCCCGTTCTGACAGGTTCTGGAGAACTGGTAGCGGAAATTTTGAGCAGTTCGGAGAACCGGCAAATAGGCTGGCCCCGCCCCTGTTGCCCCCCAGCTGATTTTCTTTTGTTGCCCTGAACAGGACAATGGAGCTGGAAAGCAGGTTAGTGGCGTGAGGAGGGAATGAGGATTTTGCAGTAACCTTTCCCCTTCCTACTTACCTCCCTCCCTCCCTCCCTTTCTTCTTCCATCCATCCATGATGCACAGTGATTAAACTGCAGTATTGCAGGCTAATTCCGCCAACTGCCAGCAGTTCAATTCTGACTGGCTCGATATTGATTCAGTTTTCCATCCTTCTGAGGTTGGTAAAATGAGAACCCAGATTGTTGGGGGAAATAGGCTGACTCTGTAAACCGTTTAGAGCAGATGTAGTATTCAGCCAGTTCTGACAGGTTCTGGAGACCCGGTAGCGGAAATTTTGAATAGTTCGGAGAACCGGAAAATAGGCTGGCGCCACCCTTGTTGCCTCCCAGCTGATCTTCTTTTGTTTGGGAAGGGAATGTGGATTTTGCAGTATTATTCCTTTGGCACGCTCACAAAGAACTGGTAGTAAAAAAATTTGAATCCCACCACTGATCTCCACAGACATTCAACAAAGATACAAATAATAATAATAATACCTTAACAGTTCCTAGGTCCTTGGTTAGGGCTTGAGCTGTTCAGATACCAACCAGCCTCAAAGGCTGTGAATCTCACCAAAGATTAACCAAATCATCATCATCATCATCATCATCATCATCATCATCATCATCATCATCATCTAAATCTTACCAGCCACCACTTTCTTTGGAGACATTATGAATTAAGGCTCCTCGACAGAATGTCAGTTCATCATCTCTCTTAGCTTGATAGTCGTACAAGGCTTTAACCGTTCTCTGCGGCTTTGAGAAAGAAGTAATGGAACAAACATTTCAAATACACAAGTCAGGTGAATTTTGACACAAGGTATGAATTATGTTGTTGACGTTTGAATGGAAAAATGATAGATGAAGTGTAATTAGCTCCCCATTCTTTTTGCTAAGATCAAGATGAATGTCACTCACCACAGAAGGTGTTATTTCGGTGGGCTCCACATACATCTTGACTTCATATAAAGAGTTAGGATCTTTCTCCTAAATCGAAAATCAAAATAAAATGAAATTACCATCAACATCTTGAGTCTTCAGCATATTACCTACTTTAACATACAGCAACTAAATACCGGAAAATCTACCGGATTTTCCCTTTCTCCCCACTTCTGAGATTCACCCTGACCCCAAAAAGTCCAGTGTTACTTGAGCAAAATTTTCGGGGATCTTTTTTGATATTTGAGCTAGTTAGAAAAGAGAAATTATGACTGATAATTTCATTGTGTTTAAGATCTAGATCTCTTTTCTTCTTAGTCTTCTGCTCAAAAAAGTACCTGACTTTATACTCAGAGTCATGTTGTCTAGTTGCCACCATAAACTGAAGCCATAAAGTGATTGTTGCGTTGTTTGATGGCAGCCACGGTGATATATAACACAAGAGAATTTTAACAATCCAAGATAGAATCAGTCAATCATTCCCACACATTTATTTTCTCATACAGCCAGAAAAGATTTTGCTATGGCTTATTTTTACCTGTTTGGGGTATAAAATGATGGAGTCTTTTAATCAGAATCTGAGGTTGGCTGAATTGAAATCTCCATTTTTCAATTTTTTGCTCTCAAAGTAAGTGAATACATTATTTTAAGGACTGTTCTAAAGTGGTGAATTGCAACTAAAGAATGCTGTGTGTTTATGGCAGCTTTAAGGGATTCCTGCCTCATATTAAAAGATCAATAATTTTACTACTTGCATGAGTACCTTGGCTGCATGTCTTCCTATAAATATGCTATGCTCTTAAAAACTATTATTGATTTTACAATAATTATTTTAGCATTGTTCATTTAACTTTATTTACAACTTGTTGATAAACTGGCGTTGTCCAGGTATTTATTTATAGGGGGAAAATGTCTGGACCAAATGTAATTTCTAATGTTGGATTTTCCCCCTTACCAGAGAGAGCCCCCTTGTGGAGTACTGGGAAGCTGTTATCATGGCAACTCCACTGGACTGTACAGTAGAAGCCATTTTATGGCAATACAGTAGAATCCATTTTATGGCACAACAGGCTGTATCTTAACAAAACATACACCAAGGGATGCTAGGGGTGTCTTACCCCCACAGTATTTGTTTCCAGAGCATAAGTCATCTGTGTACCAGGTTTGATTGAAATTGCTTGAGGCGCTCCAGAGTTATGCTGGAACATACACACACACACAGCCATTTTTATATAGATACAATAAAGAGACAATATCCCTTAATTAGAGAGATTAATTATCTAGGAACGTAGGAGGGTAAGAAGTTAGAAAGAAATCATTATGCCTGTTTGGTACATAATATTAGTAAGTTGATTTTTTTATTCCTAGCAGGATCAAAATTGGTTCCTATATTACTTCAATACTGATGGTTTTTGGAGGGCATCAACTTTTTCATTGCCAACGTATTTTGTGATTATGTGTATTTCATCAATTTTCAAAGTGCAAAGGATTTGCCAGGAGCCTGCTTTGTTTAGTAATTAAGGTATTAGTCTAGAAACCAGGAGACTGTGAATTCTAGTCCTGTTTTGGGCACAAAGTCAACTGGGAGACCTTGGGCCAATCATTCTCTCTCAGCCCTAAGGTGGAGGTAAGGGTAAAAAACTTCCAAAAGGCTCTGCCAACATTGTATATGGCAGTGTTTCTCAACCTTGGCAACTTTAAGTCCTGTGGACTTCAACTCCCAGAATCCCCCAGCCAGCATAGCTGGCTGGGGAATTCTGGGGGTTGAAGTCCACAGGACTTAAAGTCGCCAAGGTTGAGAAACACTGGTATATGGTAACCATGATAAGGTTATTATATGGAAAAAGTTGGAAAATCAACAAAATACCTTCAAGGGAGGGCAACCTTATTATTACAATGGATGATAAAATTAACCGAGCTTGCAGAAATGGTGAAATTGACTTGTTTGGGCAGAGAACAAAAGCCACAATGATTTTTTTTTCCCCATTGAAAGACTGAAAATCCTACGCGGATGTTTTGTTGAAAGAAGAAAGGATCAAATGGATGATTTCAGGATTCGGGGATTAAAAAGGGCCAAAGAGGAATGGGGAAAAAATAAGATGATAATTAAAGGTAAAAGTTCCCCTTGCATGTATGTGCTAGTTGTTCCCGACTCTAGGGAGTGGTGCTCATCTCCGTTTCAAAGCTGAAGAGCCAGCGCCGTCCGTAGATGTCTCGGTGGTCATGTGACTGGCATGATTAAATGTCGAAAGCGCATGGAGCGCTGTTACCTTCCCACTACCTTCTCTATTTTTCTACTTGCATTTTTTGA